GAAGGCAGCCACCTTGGGAAAATTAAATTCCCAACTGAAAAGTTGGGGTGTTCTAGGCCTAAGGCCAAGAATGCACATAATGGTAGATGCCAAGTATGTTTTGCTTCCAAAGGGGTAGAGTCCCTAAATACGAGAGGGACACACCTCTCCTTCACCTCAGCCATATCCCAAAGGACAGGAATTTAGATCCAAATCCTGGTTTTCCTTATCATCACCACCTCCTTATATTCCAGAGATCTTATTACAAATCCCCCTCCCCAGACTCATAAACGTTCTAGAAGCCTTTCTTAAGGAGCAGAGACAAGATCAGAGAGAAACAACGCAAATAACAGAACCAAAATCTAAGCCAACCACAAGCCAAACAATTCATAAAGCTTAACACATTGGGGGCGGGGGGGGAGATGGTCTAACACAATAGGAAGAAAAACGAACATCAGAAACCGACGGCCTTCTGTACCACAAAAACCGCTTTCCTGGTTACAGTGAACAAAACGTGTGCAGAAGCATGTTCACCAAGAAAAATTACCCACTGCTTGCCAATCTTTTACTGTCCAAATGAAACCTTTCCCCACGCTCCCCATTTTCCAACGCCTTATCACACCGGAGAAGCCAGAGCCGCTAGGAGAGTGAGGAAATCAAGAGGCTTGCCAAAAGCCAAAGACACTATTTAACACATCACAGTTCCGAAAGCTACTTAAGGTCTCAAATCGAACCACGCAAAATCAAGACAGACAACCAGCGCAAACCTTCAAAAGCGACCAATCCCCAACACAAAGTTTCAAAACAAAACCTCTTCCAAAGGTTGGGGGTGTAGCCGAGCTGGGAGGGAAAAAAAAGCAAAAAGCACCACCCCACAGCTCCGATTCCCCTACTCGGCTACTAAGATCTCAAACTTGTCAGAGACAACCCCGACTGCAGCTCCTGTCACCCAGAGACACTGAGAAAGGGGAGCCGGAGACAGTCTTCGGGAACTGGCCTTTCTGCAGAGTGCCAGGCCGAGCCTGGCTCAGACAAGGAGGAAGTAACTGCCAGATTAAAAAAAAAAAAAAAAAAAAAAAAAGCCCCAGCAGCTCCAACTGCAGCCTCAGCCTCTGTGCCTCCCACAACTGCCCACATGCCCGCCCCATTCGGGGCTCCGGGAGGAAGCGAACAGGGCACCGGTCTCCCGGGAGAGGCTGGGGACCCCATAGGTCCGCCTCTTGCAAGCGGCAGCGGCAGCACCCGCCGGAATGAAGGGATCGGGAGTGCGGGGTTCGAGAGTCGGCTCGGAAGGCGTGTTTTGGGGGGGCGGGGGACGCTGAGAAAAGGGTCGCCCGGAGGCGGGGCCTGCCGGCAAGCAGCAACAACTCCTAACGCCCTGGACGCCCCCCGGGAAGGGGAGGCTGTTGGGGGGAAGCGGGGCGCGCACCCCGACGCGGAAGCCATGCTGAACGGAGCTCGGGGTGCCCGGGTGCCAACGTGCCGGCGGGGGGCGCTAGGGAGATCCAGGGGCGCAGAACTGGGTCACCCCTTACCCCACCGCCCCCTCACAAAGGCCCCCGGGGAGGCCGCCCACAGGCCCCACAGCCCCGGCCTCGAGTGCCCGCCTCGGCCGCCACTCACCGCTAGGTCCTGGGGCACCGCCCCGCTCATGGCCCGCACCGTGCCGGCCCTCCAGGCCCGAGTGCGCAGCGCAGGCCCCGGATCTCCGCTTGCCGCCGCCGCGGGGGCCGAGGCCGAAGCTGAGGCCGCGGTGTCCGCGAACAGAAGCAGCAGCCTCTTGCCCACGGGGGAGGCCGCCGCGTCCGCCATCGCCAGGACCGGTCGGGCCCGCGCTCCCGCCCGCCGCCTCCCACCACCTTCGCCGCCGAGCGCCCGATCCGCCCGCAAGGCCTCCCTCCGCACCACCCGCGGCCGCCGCTCCCCCCACCCCCCCAACAGCTACCACCAACCACCGGCGCGGCGCAGCGCCCCCCGTGGCCGGGAGCGGAGCCGCAGCCCGGGCCCCGCACAGCGCCCCCCGCGCTCTGGAGCGGGGCGGCAGCTCCGGGCCCCTCGCCGCGCTCCGCCCTAACCTCCCCGGGGCCTGCAGTGCCCCCTGCGGCCGGGAGGGGAATTGCAGGTGTAGCTGGAGTTGGGGGGGGGAGTGGGAGGGTCCTTCAGAGCCCCATGGCACAGTCCCCTAGACCCCAGAATTTCTTTGGGGGAAGGGGGAGTCCATATCTGGGAAGGCCTCGGCTTACCCTCCTTGGACAAGACTTGTGGGATGGGGACTGAGGGGTAAGGTACTTCATTACTGTCCTCAGTACCCCATTTATTTTTCTAAAATGACCCACCCTTGCTGACTTCTAGGAGGCATGCACCCATTGGTCCAAAGGACATAGTATCTTCCTTCTCATTGGCCCATGATCTAGTACCATTCTGTTCTATATTGACAGAACTTCAGATTCCCTCCCAATTGGTCAATGGATTGATTACTACATCCATTGGATGTGATGTCATGCCATTGGTAGAAGATCAATTTATTTCTAACATTTTAGTAATATGGCCTTAAACTCATGGCCCATCTTCTCCCTAGTCTTCCAACGTGGGTGCATCTCAACAACTTTTAGGAGTATTAGAAGAACCTAGTAGTTAAGGAGATTCAGCAATATCTCATCCATAGGCCAAAGGATATAGCAACCATTGCATGTTGGGAATGTCAAACTAGCATGTTCCATGGTTTGTTTCATGCATGGATGGAGTATAAACCAATCAGAAAGGGTCTGGAAATAAGCCATGACTATTGCTCTAAAAGTGGTTATTAGTTTCCATGGTCTCACATATACGTGAGGAAAGAGCAGTAGCTGGCTCTGCAAGCCTTCTGTGTCTGGCCAGTTATCTTTGTCCATAATTTTGTCATCTTCCCTGACCTTTATTCTTGTAACAAAGCTTGCGAAGGGGAAGGCGCCAATTTTTGACCGCAGTAAAGTACCACCACACACACTGAGAAGTCATTTTAAAACGAATGCTTCTGAAGTGAATGCTTCTGAAGTGCCAAGGAAACATTGTTCTCATTTCCCGGTACTTCTGTCGCCCACAATTAAACCTGAGGCCTGACTCAAAATAATTTGCTAGGATGAAAGAAACTGGTTAAAGCACACATCCCAGAAGTTGTACACTGAAGTAGGAAGGAAGTGGAGGGGAAAGATGAAGTCAGACAGGGCAGCTTGCAACTCTATAAAAATTTTTGCCTTTTCCTGAATGGGGCTTAAATTACTGCCCCCATGTGGAAGGCTGGCTTCTCACGGCACCAGAGAAAGATGCTAATCCTGCAAAGGGGAAATTCATAAAACAAATGTGGCAGGTGCTTCTCATGCGCCAGGAACTTTGCACAAAGTTGGAACACAACCCCAAACAAGATAGAACCCTTGCCCTCAGGGAGTCTACTTTCCTAATACTAACAGGTCTTCAGGAAGGAACAATTAAATTACACTAAACAAACCCAACCTTAACAATTGAAAAGAAAGGAAAAAAAAAGGGGGGGGGGGAGGTGTGTGTGTGTCAAAGTCATTTTAGAAGTTCTTCTATCCCCCCACCCTACTTAAGGAGTAGGTGAAACAAAGTTTGAAGGAAGTAAAACATTGTAATTCCAAGGTTGGTAACAACTCCCACCCTTTCAAATAGTACTTTTAGCCTCACAAAGGTTCCTGCTCTAGGTAGTCAAGCCAATCCTGAACTCCTGCACACTTCATTGGTATTCAATAATGAATGCCACCAATTTGAGGCAGGAAACTAGGGCGTAGGCTAAGCAACTTGACTCCTTTTGCTGTCTGGTACAGAGGCTGAGCTTAGGGACAGTTTCCTGCCTGGACCTCTAAGCAACTACATTTCACTCACACACATTGGAAGAGTATTAACATAGGGAGAAGAAAGGGTGGAACAGCAAGGTCTTAACACAGAACACACAGCTTCTTTCAGCAACTGGACTCCAAATTGAAGACTTAGGGGGAAAAATACCCATTTCTAGGACCAAAGAGAAGCTTTGACGCAAGCATAACCTTCCAAAACCAGCATCTTTTTTTTTTTTTTTTTTTTTTTTAGCATGGAGAAATCATGGAGGTCTTTGAATCCTAGTAATAATTTTCATCTCTTCAGAATGTTAACATTTGAAAACTGTTACAGGTTCCTGGGCAATTCCCACCCTGTCTTTCCCCTACCTCTCCAAGTCTACAAGTTGCTGACTATTCCATCAAGAGGGGCTGGAGTGTGTTACTTCAACCTGTTTGGAAAGAATAACAGGGAAAAGGAGACAAAAGCAGACTTCTCGAAAAATAACAGAGGCCTCAGCAGAAAACCCGGGCCAAACGATTTGATCTAGTGTGGCTGGCAAATGGCCTAACAGACCAGATAGTGCCCTTTCTGAATGCTCAGCTATCTTCAGGCCAGGATCGGGAACATCTGGCCCATGGGCCATACAGAACCTGTGAATCTTATGGTCTGGCCCTGCAGGCATGCATAACTTGAAATTCAGTATGCTAATTTCTAAACTGATAATTTTGTATAGCTCATGAATGAGATTACAAACATCAAATAGTCTCTGACATGGGAAAAAAAAAAGATTCCCCACCTCTTAGAGGAAGGGGCTAGGGCAGTTAGGTGGCCTTTCCCCTGCTTCCTCCTTGCCTTGCTTTGTGAGCAAGGGAAGAAGACACTGTAGTACAAAAGATTGCCTGGGAAAATGGATTATTCTAATAAAACTTTATTTTTTCAAACACAGCCACAGAGGCAGAACCTCATGTTTAACACACACAGACTTATGGATTTTTTTTTTTTTAATATAAAACAAAGTTTACGAAAAAAATTTTTTTTCCACTTTTTGTATTTGTAATCCCATTAGCATAGGGACTTTGGCAGCAGGTGGGAGTGAAGGGCAGCTGGGGCTGCCACTGGGCAGTCACCGGGCACAGGAGGAGAGCACCAGCCTGGGAGTGGCTTCACTCACACACGCAGGAATACTCACCTACTGGCCAGCCACACCACACACACAGCACAGATGCAGACGTCCACCCAGCGTCAACCACCAGCCCTGGAGCTGTGTGCCGCTCTGGGTAAGCCCAATATGTGAAATCCAAAGAGTCAAAACAGCTAAAATAGAGGGAAGTTGCTTGCTTTACAAAAGAAGCAATCATAGGCTGCTTTTAAATTATTAGCAGTCCAAAAGCATTAAAAAAAAAGAAAAAAAAAAGCATTTGGATTACACAGAACTGTTCAAACAGATCTACTGTGTAAAGCAAAGTGAACCACTTCTTGAAAAGGCTTGTTCCAGAGCCACAGGTGCTGAGATTGGGAAGCAGATGATAGTTTGACTAGTTAAGCTTTCCAGACTTAAAGTAACAGAATTACAACACAGTAACTGTAGATCTCCCCGTGGAAGCATGGTGCACAAGGGCTCTGGGGAAGCCTTGATGGAGGCAGAGTTCCTGCCCTCACTTCTTTAGCTTAGGGGCTGTCAGGTATCCCATTGGCACAGCCAGTGGCCTACTACAGCCAATCTGCAGCAGAGGGCCCAGGGACAAAAAGCAGCTGGCACCAAGGAAATTATGGCCTGAAGAGTCAGGAGAGGGATGAAATCAAGGATGGGCAACTCCTGGGCTCACAGCTCCTCTGGATTCTCTAGAGCCTCTTACAGGCCTCTGGAGAGCTGGCAGCCCAGTGGTGACACATGGTAACTAGCCAGGAGATGGGGAGGAGCCCTAGAAGGGGAGAACCTCTGGGGGCCAGAAGCTTTAACACATCCAGCCAGCCCCTCTGGAGTGAAGGCCACGAGGCTGAAGCCTCACGGGTGCCCCTATGAGACACGTGGGAGACCCAGAAAATGTTAGGTTCAATTCCACTAGGAAGAAAACAAAGACCTTGGTCGTCTTCCCTAACATGGGGAACTGGGTCCTAAGAGATCCTGAAAATTGAAGAGAAAAAAAGCATGCCCTTCTTGCAATAAATAGGAAGGGCAAGTACAATTTGGTCTTGCTGGATCTAACCAAAGCTGGATAAAGCCCCACAAATACTTGGGACAGCAGCTTCAGTTTGCATTTCTCCTGATACCAGTCCTATCAAGCCACCACCTCTCATCCTTAAGCCCATCGCTGTGGCCACTGGAACCTGCTGCCCTGGCTCAAATTGTGGGTGAGAAACGAAAAAAGAAATTCAATCCAACAACAATAAACTCCCAACTGCTTCTCACAGCCTTTGCTTTCCACATTCTCAGCCAATCCCTCAGTGAGCCCCAACCTTCCTGTGGTCCCTCAAGGCCAATTAACAAGCAAATAAACATTTCCTGGCAGGAGTGGAAGACAAGCAAACCATTAAATGCTGTACACCCCTTCCTCTTTCTTAAGCAGGTTGCAAAAGAGGCTGCATCCGGATCTTGTAAGAATAGGTTTCTCATCAGTCTGCTTCCAGAGAGAAGGGCTGGAGTGAGCTGTCCCATCTCTCAGGGACTCAGTGCCCCTTCCCCTGCAGAGGGGCTGCCTCAGAGGATGCTGGGGACCAGTTATATGGCCTTTCTACCTTGTTTCACACCTGGGATGTCAGACGGTGAGGGGAAAAAAGAGAAGGGTCCGCTTAGAGAAGACACACAGAGCCCTTCAACCATGCCTCCGTTGTCCAGGTGTAGTCACACACAAGAATGAGAAGAGGCAGGCTGGACACAGCTTAGAGGTCCTGGTGAGAAACAAGGCCAGCTGATTAAGCACGGCAATCCCTTGTAGCCAACAACACTAGGTCCACCTTGAGTGGATGGGCTGGGGTCGAGAAAAAGACTCTCTAGCTGAGTGCAGAGCACTGAAACAGACCCTGCTACACCCCCAACATGGAATTTTCTGCAGAGCCAGTGATGCCATGGATTACCAGCCAGCCTCCAGAGCTGTTTAGAAAAAAGGAAAACGTGGGAGTCCTCCTCTTGACTCCTTGAACAAGCTCAGGGTCCTATCAAAATGCAAGACCCTGGGGGTGTCAATGATGCTCTGCCGTTAAGGAGCAACTGCTTTCCTTCCCTAAGGCTACACAAACACACCATTCTTCAAGTACACTCCCATGCACACACACACACTCTCACGCAATTTCTCCAAGGAGGCCAAACCCCCCCACCCTGGCCAAATTCTAAGACACAAGTGCCCTTTGAAGCAAAGGGGCTAATGAAATTCCCCGAGGTGGGGTCAGCAGACCCCTTCCTTCCCTGCCCAGCGCTCTCTTGGTGGCAGGGATACTCACACTCAGGGCCGCCACGGCAAGGGTCTGCTCTGGGGCTGTCCCTCCCGCCACCAGCTTCATTTATCTTGTCCCGGCCAATCTCTTGGCATGGTCGAGCTTGCTGGAGAAGATTTCCGGCTGCCCTGAGTCGGAGCCCTCCACTCACCCCCATTCCCAGGCTGGGCCCCCAGCCTTGGGGCCTCGACACTTGTTAGTAGCCATAAGAGAATCAGTCTGTGTGGCCCCAGGAAGCAGCCTTGCAGTTTTAGTTCTCCTCAATGAGATTCAAGTCCAGGTCCCCAAAGTCCTGCTGGCACAGTGTCCGCTTGCTTAGCGTCTGCCGCCCCCACCGCACAGACCCCTCTTCCTCCTCCTCCTCCTCTTCGCTCTCACTCAGCACCTGGGAGGAACCCTCAACGGGGCTGCAGGAAGCAGAGAGGGGTGGGGGGCTACAGGCCATGAACCATGGTGGAGAGACGCTGCTGCCTTCCTGGGCTGTTTCTTGGAGAGAAAGACCTCCTGAGTATGGTTTCTGTGAAATAAACAACAGAGTTCAGAAATTCTAGCAGGCACACCAACTTCCCAGAGTACCCCAAGATGAACTATTTCAAAGGGTTCCCCATCAATTACACCAGAAGGCAAGAATCCTAGGTTTTAGTAAGAGGTCTGTAAACTCCCTGCTAAAATCCAGCAAGGTCAGTGTCCAGGCACATTTCTCAAAACCAAGTGTCCACGGGCCCGTCATTCATGACAGACACAAGCAGCATGTACTCTGCACTGCCAGTACCCAGTCAACTGAGTCACGTATACAGTACGTATTCACTATATGCCTGCTGACTCCGAGTAAGTTCTCAATGTGACCCAGCAATCTAGACAAAATATATATGAACAGTGTGCAAGAGCAGCCTTGAGGACAAAGCATGGCAGGGTACTGTGATGGAACGTCTGGTTCTACATCCTGGACAGGAGGGAAGGAGCCTCTAGTAGGCCAACGTGGGACTATTGCCAGAGATTTAACACGGGTCTCACTGCAATCTCTCTGGAACCTGGAGTCCCACAGGGCAGGGAACTTCCAGTGTTCAAATTGGGACGGTCCCAGCCAAATTAGGGCAGTGGATGTCCTCAGTAAAAGCTCCAACAGTAAGGAGATCTCTCTCCTGGGTAGGCCGTGCCAGGAGGGCAAGGAATATAATGGAGCTCAAAAGTGGGACCAGAACACAGCCCTCTCCTTGGCCCTGCCACTCCCAACCCAGCCCTCTGTCTCCTCAGCCCCACCTGATTCATCTTGTCAAAGTCCAAGGAAGGCCGCAGCCGACGGGGGTCCTCTTCATGGCGTCGCTTGACGCCAGTTTTCCGGGCATCCAGGTCGCAAGGCTGTGAGCGGCTTCGGGGAAGGTTGCGTAGACCTCGGGGTCGCCAGGGCAGCTCTGGGGAGGACGCGGGAGAGCTCCGGGCTGAGGGCAAGAAGCGGCTTGCCTGTGGGCCCAGGCTGGGTGACAGGGAGAAGCGGCGCTGGGGTGGGCAAGGCGAGAGGGACTCAGCATCACTTTCCCAGGAGCCACTTCTAGGGGAGGCGGCGCAGGGTCGAGAAGAATCTTGGGCCAGGGCCAGGCTGAAGAAAGGAGGGCTGTAGGGCCTGTGGGTTGGGGCACATTGAGAAGAGGCACTGGGAGCTTGGAGGAACCTGAGGCTGGAGACCCGCTTTGGGGGGCTCTGGTGAGGCACCTGCGGCCCACCCCCTCCACCACTGCCCCGATGCTTGATGGGAGTCCACAGCTTGGAGGGGGCGGGCCGCCACACCGGCTGCCAGCGAGACAGGTCCACGGGCACTGAGAGCGAACGGCAGTGCCTTTTGGATGGAGGGGCAGGGGGCACAGGAAGCTTCTCTGGGTCTGGGGGGTCAGGGCTTAGGACTTGGGAGAGAGGCTGCTCCTGTGGGGAGCTTTCCCGACTGGGTGGTCTGAGGTGCAGGCTCAAGCCTGAGGGGTGGTAGCTGAAGTTGAGGCTGTCCTGGATCTCGGCACAGGAACAGTGGGGCAGGCCCCTCCAGGAAGCACCTTCTGGAAAGCATTCAGAATGAAGGCAACATTAATAATAGCTAACAGTTTTCTGAAGAGCCTTCTATGCGCCACACAATGCAGGGAGCACTTTATGTTTCCCCAAATCTCAAGAGACAGATACTATGACAATTCCCATTTCAAAGATGGGAGGAAAATAGTGACATGGCCCAGTCACATGGCAAGCAAATAACCACAGTAGATTCAAACCCAGGTCTGTCTAATGCCTTGGCCAAGATTCTTAACTGCTATCCTACACTGCCCCCATTGTGAGAAATTGACACAGTTCACATTCTACCTACCATCCCTTCCTAAAGGTAAAACAAGTCAAGAGAAATGAGTCTATGTGCATGCCCCACCAATACTGCCTCCATTCCAGCTGGTTCTACTTGCCAGCACTGACCCACCAAGCCCCAGCTCCAGTGCTGGCTTTTGAAAAGCAGGCCTATGCTCTCCTGTCTCCAGTGTTAACAGAATCAAACATGAGTTAGGGCGTGACAGGTAATCAAGCAGCAAAGGTGGGGAAGGCCTTTGACAGCAGGACTTGTGCTTGGGAAGTCATGATGCTTTGTGCTGTTCATACCCCTTTGTGTCTGGTCAGCCACACACTCCAATTCCCTTTTCCTAGGCCTTCTCTTACAGCCAAAAAGATGGAGGGACCAAGAAAGGGAGAGATGACTGAAAGAAATGATTCTAACTTACTCATTCCAAGCAAACGGGTGACTTTTGGCATATGACCTCATTAGGGGACAAAGGGCCTGCTCCTCTCCCCTGGCTTGCTGGGTGAGCTTCTACATGGGCTGGATATTTAGAGCAAATACAAGTTCATGTAATCTGACTTGATCATGACAAAACTCAGACCTGATTCTACTTGGTCAACAGCTGTTCCCCCTAACTTGTGAACTAACATCTGAATGAAGAGGCTTTATTCAACCAACTCCACTTGCTAGGTGTCTGAGAAAAGGCAACAAAATGTAAAACAGCCAAGCAGCACAGGTTAGAAAGTTCTGCTTGTCCATTAGTGACTCCTTTACCTAAACAATCTCACAACTAGAAGCCCTTTGATTCTCTTGTAATCAGGAATCTGCTCCTTAGATACATGCTCACATGTAAAAAAATGGCCTATGCATGAGTTTTATGTGTCATAGCAAAAGACAGGAAATAACTTAAAGGTACATTAATAGGAGAATGGCTAAATTACAGTATACTCAGGTAATTATATATAGCTACATACCACAAGGAGAACAAACAGCACACTGGAAGCCATCCTGACTATATTTTGGTGAAGTTAAAAACAAAACAGAAAACTATATAGGATGTATGTAACTTTTGTGTTAAAAAAAGGGACAAATAGACATGCTTTTATCAACTTGTACTTATGTAAGGAATGCACTGGGGTGGGTGTTTGGTGCAGCACTGAAGTTGCTTCTGGGCATCTATATCCCATATCAGAGCGCCTGGGTTGCGTCCCGGGTCCTTCAGCTCCAACCCGTTTCCTGCTCACACACCCTGGAAGTCAGCCGATGATCACAAGGATACTCAGGTCTCTGACTCACATGGGGAGTGGAATTGGGTTCGGGGATTCTCCACGTTGTGGGCATCTCGGGAGTGAACCAGAAGGTGGCAAATCTCTGTCTCTGTCCCTCTGCCTTTCAAATAAAATGAGAACAAATACTTTTATTTTTCAAATTATATCGGGTTTCTTAAATGTATCCAGTTGTCCAAAAGGCAGAGAGACAGGGGGAAAAAAGCCCTCTCAACCACTGGCTCTCTTTGAAAATGCCCATAGAGGCCAGGGCTGAGCGAGGCAGGCTGAGACAGACTGAAGCCAGCAGTCTAGAACTTAATCCAGGTCTCCCACCTGAGTGGCAAGGACCCAAGAACTTGAGGCATCACCTGCATCTGGGTACACATGAGTAGGAAGTTAACCTGAAAGTGGAGACAGGTCTCAAACCAGGCACTCTGCTGTAAGATGTGGATATCCCAAGAGTCAGCCTAACTACACTGCCATGCACTCACCCTTAAATAAACAAAATTGGGGGAAAAAATCCCATAAAAAAGAAACTGCAATTATATATAAAAAAACTAACAACAGGAGTTTCTTTTAGGGAGGTGGTAGAAACTGAGTGGACAGGAGCTAGTAGAGGAACACTTTTTGTCATTTTAAAATCTATGAGCCATGTGAATGTATTTCCTAGCCCAAAATTTCAATTCTAAAAATCCCTGCAATGCTAGACTTAAAGCAAACTAAACAAACAGGTAAATCTTATGTTAGATCAGTAAAATGGAGACATGTGCCAATCTCAGAATGTGACCCTGGAAGAAAGTTCTACAGGTAGGCTATCTAACCCGAGTCACTAAAACCCAATGAAAGGAATGTGTGGGCAGAGGCATAAGGACACACAAACACACACAGCCTTACCAGACACAAGCTGGAAAGGGTTCCCACAGTTGGAGATGTCTGCATGATCAGGCAAAGGCTGAGAGAAAAGAGAATGTCCATCATGACTCTGCATCAAGACACACTGACCAATCTCTAGGAAGCCCTCCTCAGGTCTCCCCTGCAACTCATGGGCTGTGAGGAGGTTAGGGGTTCCTAAGTGTGGTCTTCCTCTGGCCTTCCCAAAGTTAGTGAGTAAAGCAATCCACATCTTTTCAACATCTCAAACCCTTCTCCACCCATGTTTGGTGTCCCTTCTCTGTGGGTGGAATAATCCCTGCCCCCTTCCTTTTGAGCCGGGTTCTGAGCCTTTCGTGGGCTCTTCCAGTACAAGTACCATGATTCCTACGACACAGGACAAGGGTAAAGTTGGAACAACAAACAGCCTCAGAAAAAAGGGGGAGGGGGTCGTGGAGAAGCAGGAAGACTGGTCTTTTACCAGACTGATGCTGAAGCGTGTGCATTTCAGCTCATCCAGAGTCTGCTTCTGTAGCTGCTCAGTGATCAGGGTTATCATGATTCTCCCCAGGATTTGACTTGCACAACTTTGGAGCAAATGATGGATGTCTTCCCTGTGGTTCTTCCAGAGACCTCACTCGTGAGCCGTCTTCTGCCACTGCAGCACCATTCTAGCACCATTGGGACTTCCCTCGCCAGTCAGGCCTGCTGAGGGACCAGCCCCAAGCGATATTAGAGATGCACCTGGTCCAGAGATGGAAAATGCATGGCACACATACCACAGCACCCCTCATGCCAGGCCTCTGGCAGACAGCTTTAATTGATCATGTCTCTTTTCTGCAAAGCCTAAACATAGCCTCAGAAGCACTCTGAACTTGGCACGCCAGATATCCAGTCAAACAAACGGGAGCTGAGGAACAAGTTGAAACCTATTTGCCACTCCTAACCTTGTTCTAGCTCTGCTGTTTCTCCTGGATTTCCAACACCATTTAACAAACACTTCAAGTGAGACAAAGGAATGCCCAAATGCTTGTGAACCAGCCTGGTAGTGATTTTAATTTAAAAAATTTTTTTAAAATTTATTTTCACTTTATTTTACAGGCATGGAAAGTGAGAGACAAAGAAATCAATCTTCCATACATCGGTTCATTCAATGCCGGCAAAAGCCAGGTCTGGGCCAAACTGAAGCCAGGACCCACAACTCAATCAGGTCTCCCACATGGGGTGGCAAGGGTCTACTGAGGTCTCCATTTGCTGTCTCCCAGAGTGGACGACAAGCAGAGAGCCTGAGAATCAACCAGGCACTCTGCTTTTAGATGTGGGCATCTCAATCGGCAGCTTGACTACTGCAGCACACACCTGCCCTCCCCTGAATTTGCCTTCAAGTCAGAAGCAAGAAGAGGTACCCTTCTACTAAATTACAGAAATAGAAATAGAGAAGAGGGAGGGGCAGCAGTGGTAGGCACAACTTTCTGCTCGAAACCAGAAAAGATAAGACTATATAACCTCCTGTAAGTCTGATTACAATATTTTCCAATAGTAACTTACAGAATGAGAAGTTTAGGACATGGTCAGGGCCATTCCAATTACATTTCCACTCCACAGATGTTCCCAAACAACTCCATGACTTTATTCAACTAAATCTGTAACCTGACCTTACTTAGAGACCATAAATAGAATTAATCGAGATTCTCAGTTTCTGATACAGGCAAACTTAACTCTTTCAACAAACAGACTTCAAGCCTACACAACTGCCTGTTGGGTCCTGCTCCAGGGAAAAGAGGTTAACCCCGTGGGGAACCAGCAGGCAGCGCACCAGAGGACAGACATGGCGAAGGCTAGAGAATCAATCCACCTAAAATCTTCATCGGATTGGCAGATAGTTTTGGTTAATCAGTCAACATTTCTTGACCTTGGCTTGCCCATACGTAAAATGGGCAGAATAATCTTAAAAGTGTCACAGGAATGACAGAATATGAAATACCAAAATACACAAAGGCATGCCTCCTGGCCTGTAAACTTGGGAGCCCCCAGAGAATGCTGCTTCTCAGCCAGCTTAGTTACTGCTCTCGAAAGCCTCAGAATGTCAGGAGGGACGCTGCCGTCGGGGAGGTGACGGGGTCTCCCCGGGTGGGATCGCGTCTCCCTCCCGGCACACCAAGGGAGGGGGCTCTTCCTTCTGTGACCTTGGGGGCAGAACACTCTACTTTCCTACCCCTTGCCTGCCTCAGAGAGAGGTCCCAAGGAAGAGCAGAGCAAAGACAGCTGCATGTACAGGAGAGTGCTTTGCAAAGAAGGTGCAAGGAAAGTCAGTCATCATTAGCACTCACTACCATTTTTATGCAGAATTATTTTCACCACCCTGAACAAAGTCCCAGCACCCTGAGAGCTCCCTCCAGTCGCTTCCCCTACTTGCTGTGAGAGAAGCTTAAAGCTTCTATCACTTCTGCTCTGGGTTTGTCAACTCTGCCCTAAAAACATAAACCAGAGAGGGAAGCTCATGGCAGGCTTCACCCTAGAGACAGACCCCAGGCCTCGGGCTGATCAGCCACGAGGAGCAGGCAGCAAAAAGCAAACTCTTCCGAGCCTTTCATGAGGCGTTTGGACAAACAGCAAACTCCCAGCCCTCTCCAGGATCAAGTGAAGAGAGTGATTTTGTGTTTTTCTGCATTTTAATTGTTGGGATGTGGCCACACACGGCGGTAATTGGAACAATGCAACTACCACCACGCAACTGATCCTCTCAGTCTGAGTTTCCTAAAACAGGCCAGGCTGAGAGGGGGAACAGAACGGAAGCCATAAGGAATCAAACCAGGACACAAAAGAAGGCAAACCAGCTCGGCGAGGGGCCTCCTCTTTCTCAAGCAGGCATTGAAAAAAGTCTAAGAAGCCCTCTCCTGCCGCCTTCCTTCCCCTTCCATTTTGTATCTCTGAGGGCTGGAGACAGTCCTACACATTCACTAAACAAGTTAAAACTTCTCAGCTTAACAACTGGCACCACACTGAGCCCTTGCCAGAGCAGCAGGCCGCTGGGCCCTCCCTGCAACCCCACCAGGCCCAACGCTCAGCCCAGACTTTCCCTTCACCACCAGCCTCTTTGAAACACCAGCGCCCCTAAAATAAAGATTGGATTCCCCAGCCCATGGCCTACTGCATAGCAGGAACCCCTGACACTCCAGTTCCAGGGATGCTGAGGTTGGCTTTTACCTGGACAACCCAGGATCAAGTCAAATCAAGGGGGAGCAGAGAAACAAATTCTCTGGAGGGAGAGCAACCGCCCCCCCCCCCCCCAGCGCGCTTTCCCTTCCTTCCCCCAGGTCTTAGCCCACACCTCTGGGGCAGACAGAAGGAAAACACGAGGGAGGTGCACTAACAGGTAAGTGGGGACCTGCCTGCTCTGCTTCCATATGGTTGTGGTAGAGAGAGCAGTGACAAGTGGGGTGCACCCCTCCCCCCACCGACGAAGAAGCAAAAGGCTAGCCCTCTCCCCCCACCCCAATCTTGAGCCTCTTCCTCTGTTGCCCTGCCTGTCCCCGCGGGGTGGGGCATAGGGTGTCCGCTGGCCCCTGGAGGAAGGGGGGGGCGCTAGGGCTGGCTCAGTGGGGTTGACGCTTGCCTCTTTCCCACTCCAGTCCATCATCTGGCCGCGGGAAGCGAACTCAGGACGCAGGGGATGGGGAGGGTCTGGGACTTAGCACTCCGCCACCCCCTCCCCCACCGGGTCCCGAGCTATCCCCGCGGAGGCGGCCTGCGAGGCAGGGCCGCGCGGGCGGCCGGGCTGGGGGAGGGGAAACAGGGATCGAGGGAGGGACGGTGGAGGTGCCCGCCCCGAGGCCCCAGCGCCACCTGCCCTCCGCCACCTACCGCGGCTCCTCCAGTTCCCAGGGCCGCGGCCGGAGCAGCTCTGAGCGCTCGGTTCGCCCCACGGTGCCCTTAAAAGGCGCCGGCGCGAACCAACCGGCCCCGGAGGAGAGCGGGGGGAGGACTCGGGGTTGGCAGAACCACCAGGGCCCTCCGTGGAGGTCCAGGCCCAATGCCGTTTCTTCCTCAAGACTTCCTCAGTTAGTGCTGTCGGAAAGCAGCCTAGTGCTTCGATTCATGAAAGAGGGAGGTTTCTTCATTAACGAATAACCCCCTCCAGAATATTGCCAAAAGTGGATGAGCCCAGCTGGAGGCATAGCTTCGAACCCGTGGGGGAGTCCTAGTCGGACAGAGGTAAACAAAGCCATCTCCCCCACCCTCCATTCCTACAGCGGCCCAACTGCAGCCTCCCGCTCGGTTCGGGTGGTGTAATAAGATTAGCTACGGGGCCTCTCACCTGCCCTCTTGCCCCACCTTCTGGGGCTGCTTCTCTGGAGAGAGCCCCCCTGCCCCCAGCAAAGGACCAGTCCGAGGCGTGAAGGCTGCTGGGAAGTGTAGTCCAAGCGCCGATTAGGGCCTGCTCCGAGTACCCGGAGCCCCTCTTCCCGATGTCGGATCGGCTCGAACCTTCTAAATCCAGCACTGGTAGCGATCGCGGGGCGTTCCCGCTTGATACTATAGTTTTCCCTTACCCACAACACTTTGCAGAGCTAAGGAGGGCCCAGGGCTTTCACTCCCTCCCCTCCCTGTGTACCCCCCTCAGCAGGATGAGGTAATGGGATTGTGATTATGACATCATAGGCGGTTCAGTTGCTTGCGGGGGAGGGGGCAGCGGAGGGGAGTACGGTGGTTACAGCTGGACCACTTTCCTGAAGACAGCGAACGGGCAGACAGGGAAAAGACGTTGACCGCTCTCTATTTCCTGTTCAGGAACAGGAAACCACCTTATATTAAGTCTCCATCCCTATCACCAGCGGGGCCAAAGTTTAAGTGCTTTTTGTTTTGTTTTAAGAAACTGAGTGCATTTGTTAATAGGCTGGTTAAATCGTTTCTAGCTGTGTTGCAGATCCAAGCTTCAGCCTCAAAGATGGCTCACGGAGGGGTAGGCCCATGGCCTTGGGACTCCCACATCCCAGAGTGCTCCCTGAAGCTCATCCAGGGGCCGCTGCAAGTGAAGGCTCAAAGTGCTGGAGTCCCTGCAGCCCACGTGGGAGACACGGAAGGAGCTCCTGGCTCCTGGTTTCAGCGTGGCCCAAGCAAGGGAGTTAGCAGCCATTTGGAGAGTGAGGCATGGGGTGCAAAAATATTTCTGTCACTCTAGTTTCAATACGATATAAGCTTAAAAAAAAAAAAGTTCAGAGAGGCAAACCAAAAAAGCGAAAACTAAACTTTTAAGTCACCTTTGGGTTATGGTCTTTTTTTCTTCTTCTTTTTTTTTTTTTTTAAAGATTTAGTTGGGCCTGGTGCAGTAGTCTAGTGGCTAAAGTCCTCACCTTACACGCGGCTGGATCCCATATGGGTGCCAGTCCTGATCCCGGTAGCTCCTCTTTCACAGACAGGGAACCTCCTAGCTCCTGTCTTCAGATTGGCTCAGTTCTGGCTGTTTTGGTCACTTGGAGATTGAATCATTGGATGGAAGTTCTTCCGCTATATCCTCTTCTCTGTATGTATTTTCTTTTAAAGATTCATTTATTTTTATTAAAGTCACATTTACAGAGGGGAGGCAAGACAGATCTTCAATCCACTGGTTCACTCCCCAAGTGGCTGCCACGGCCGATCCAAACCAGGAGGAGGAGCCTCTTCCAGGTCTCTCATATGAGTGCAGGATCCCAAGGCTTTGGGCTCTTCTTGGTTGTTTTCCCAGGTCACCATCAGGGAGCTGGATGGGAAGTGGAACAGCCAGGATACAGACCAGCGTCCATAAGGATCCCGGTGCATGCAAGCCAAGACTAGTGCTACTAAGCTACCTCACTGGACACTAGTTTTATTTTTGTTTTTTCATTTTACTATTCAAGACAGAAGAAAAGGAGAGCAAGCAAGTGCTCTCATTCACTGGTTTCCTCCCCAGATGTCTGCAACGGTTAGGGCTGGGCTAAAGCCAAAGTCAAAATCCAGAACATGGGTCTGTCATGTGAGTCACAGGAACCCAGTCCCCCAAGCCATCACCACTGCCTCTCATGGTCTGGAGATAGGAGCTAGAGGTGATT